AAAATTATGATCTGGAAGCAGTAACAGAAAGCCCAAGAAGAGTGTATGGTTAAAGCATTTTGAAGCCCAAAGGCGCAGGAAGTCAAGATGTATGTCCAGCTTTGAATTTTGTGAAGGGGGTGAAGGTAGTGTTAGATTACCCAATAATCAAAGTAATCACGGACTTAATTGTGCTTGCTTGCCAATCTGTAAATGAATCATTTCACATTTTTAACATTGATTCTACTTCTAGGTATGGCTGGCACCTGCCTCTATCCCAACCCCACAATATCTCCTACAGCATCAGTCTCTTTTCAACTTTACAACCCCTGACTTGGAAGGCATACCCAGGAAGCAAGGTAGGTGTTTACCAACAAGGTAAGTAACAAGGTAGGGTAAACTTGCTAATCTGTAGTGAATTGTTTCAGATGTTCAGATATGGCGAAACCCAAATGAAATTGTTCACCACAGATTAGTAAATAAGCACAAACAAACCTGTGCTTACCTTGCATATTGTGTCATGTGCCTCTGGGTGAAGAGCAGCTGGATCTGACCCCAGGCAGGCACCTGCAGGTTAACAAGGCCTGTAGCTCCTACACCTATGCCTGGGATCCCAGACTGGCACTTCTCTAAAGCACAGAGGCTAAACAGCAAGCCACTCGGTCCATTCCTTGAGGGTTGTGGCAGCCTGGGCATAGGCTCGAGATCAGCTCTATCAATGTGTGATCCTGAGTAAATGTTTCTCATCTTCGAAACTCATTTCCTTATATGAAAACCAAATGGAGATAATACCACCTCCTAGAAGGGTCGCAGTGAAGGTTAGATGTAGTGTTCTAAAGTACTTGGTGCCCAGAGATGGTGGCTCCTAGGATGAGTTCCTTTGAGGCCCACTTGTGATGGTCATTTTCATCCCATTTCATTGGCATAAAAATTCAAGGGGTCGGGGAGTCTAACTAGTACTGGTCTGTAACACCCAGAAAAGGTAAGAGCGTGATTTTTCTAGTTGGAAGACTGAATGGCATTTTTTGAAAGTTGTATTTGAGGATAGTGGTAGTTACATAATCTGGTGTCAATTTGAGGATTAAGAGTGTAGGGGTGGAGTCTAGCCTATCAATCCCGAGATAGCCAATGAGATCTCTGTGTGGGCATGATCTTCACCTGAGAATTCTGGGAACTGCTGTACTTTCCTCCTTGGAGATGGGAGACACATCTCTTTCTCTCTATTCACTCCCTTGGAGATGCTCTACTGACAAGACACATGGCACTACACTGATAGACTCCATGACCTGGGAACCGGAAAAACCACGTGGAGACCCTTGCCAGCGCTGAGATGCTTACAATGCCGCTGGACCCACAAGACTTCACACCCACTGGACTGTGATCATCCTGCATTCGGCATCATTGCATATTCGGTGTCACTGTTTTGTGAGTCTGAAGAGGACTTTATAGACTGGTATCAGATATATGGGCTAATATCAGACATATGGGCTTGGACTGGACGAGGTTAGGATGCTTTCTTAATGTATAATAACCTTTTATATAAAACTCTCTCTTATATACCTATGAGTTTCTATGGATTTGTTTCTTTAGTCTACCCAGACTAACACAAGGATGAAACCCAAGGAAGGTTCAATTTGGAGAATATATCCTCTCTCTAGTAGGAGCCTTGGCGGTGTAGTGGTTCCACATTGTGTTAACTGAAAGGTCAGTAGTTTGAAACTACCAGAATCTCCATAGGAGAAAGAAGAGGCTTTCTAATCCCATAAAGAGTTAAAGTCTCAGTAGCTGGTCTGACAGTTCCTGGGGGCCATGGTAGGGGAGATGGTGGAAGGGGGGAGGGAGGTGAGTGGGGAGCCAACAATGACAGGTACAGGGGAACAGTAAGTGTTCTAAAATTGATGGCAAGGAGAGTGTAGCTTTTCTGGTTAAACTTAATCGATTGAATTGTATCTAAGAGGAATTACTGAGAGGTGAATGATGGGTAAACATAATAGTGGGGTAGGAGGAAAGAAAAAACAAAAGAGGAAAACCCCCTATAAATGAATATGTATTATGTAAATTTATAAATTTATGTGTACTTGTTTATATGTGTATTTATATGCAAGTGCAATAAGGAAGCAGAATGAATGTTGGCTTCTACTTAAATCTTACCTCAGTACAAGAACGATTTGTTCTCATAATGTGGCAATGTATGATACTCACCTTCCTGACACAACAGCTGAAGACATAAGGGGTGCATAGGCAAATGTGGTGAAGAAAGCTGATGGTGCCCAGCTATTAAAAGTTATTGCATTTGGGGTCTTAAAGGCTTGAAGTTAAACAAGTGGTCATCTAGCAGAGAAGCAACAGCACCAGTCTGTGTGATCATGAGGTGTCAATGAGAAGAGGTATCAGAAGCTCAAAAACAAGCAACCAAATCGATGTGAAGGGGCGTGTATGTAGTGGAGACCTAAAATGCACCTGTAAGATAATTGGACATTCCCTCTCAGAAGGGCCACACAGAGGGATGATAAATCCAGGGTGCTGTATAGCACTGATCAACCACATAACTATCCTCTGGTTCTTTAATATTTTTCCCTTTACTATTATGGTTTTTATTTGTTTTACCTCATTAATCATGTTAGATGTGTGGATGTTCATTTGTATATTTAAGATCCTTAGGTACATAAAAACCAAGATAGATAACCCTTCAGAAGCAGTAACAGGAGTAATAGCTCCCTGGGGGTATGGGAAAAGAGGGGGGAAAGGGAGAATAGAGAGTTGATAGCATTGATGACTGTATAACCCCACTTGGGGTTGAATAACAGAATTGTATGTGAAAGGATATATTGGATTGGGTAAGATATGGCAAAAATTAAAAAAACACCTATTATAGGGAAAAAAGAAATAAGGCTTCCATGGGGGGTGGGGGCTGGGGAGGATGAGGTAGGGAGGGGATAAAGGAGGGCTGATATCAAGGAGTTCAAGAAGCTGCGAAGCTGTGGTTGCAATTGTACATTACTGCTTGATGTGATTGAATTATGGAATGTTATGATATCTGTGAGAGCTCTCAATACAACGATGAAAAAATTTTTAAAAATGAAAGAAAGAAAAGAATCAGCCTTCTTTAGAGAAAAAAGAAAAGAAAAGATTTACAGTCTCTGAGACAGTTTATTGTGCCAGCCTGGCTGATAAAC